CTCCGCTGCCTGGCTCCCATTAGAGTCCGTGTTCTACTTCAGGAAACGAGCTTGTTGATTTTTCATTTACACAAAAATGAAAAATAAACACCAGATGTTTAAAAACATGTTGCAACACGTCCTGCTGGAACTTAAAAGTGCATTCTGACCAAAAAAATTAAATTAGAAAATCCACAAAGCAAAAAAAAAAAAAAAAAATGTTTTGAATGAAAATAGTTTGTCTCTCACACATACTCTCTCTTGCACACACACTCACACACACACATGAAAACAGTATCTCATTTCTCCTTCAGGGAGCAGCTGTGAAGGAAATTGGGGGAGGAGGGTGGACACAACATCCCATCTTTGTGTTTCGGTACAGACTAAGCTTTTAGGCCAGCTCTCCTGGCTGGAGCGGAGGCGTGGCCTGCATGAGAAGTAAACATCAGAGATCTGAAGAAGCTTATAAAATCGCTTGGGAGAGGCCAGTCACCAAGACAGGCATCTCAAATCGGCTGATTCTGCATCTGGAAACTGCCTTCATCTTGAAAGAAAAGGTATGTACTGTAGTTTTCACCCTTTCATTTATGATAATAATGTCTAAAATAGGAACGGTCTTGGTTCTCCATTGCCCCTTTTCAGCTACATATAATCACCACTGATTGAGAGCTTGTGCCGGTAGCATTAGACTTGTTCTCATTTTTCCTCAAACAAATGTACAAGGTAGGTATTATCAGAGCCATTCTTCCGGTGACGAAACTGAGGTAGATACACTAGCAACAGGCCTAAGATAAAACCAAACCCGGCGTGAACTCATCCCAGCATCTTTTGCTTACCCCTCCAAACTGGACAATAAGGAATTTCTCCATGCACAAACACCATGCCAGGTGAATTCTCAGCGAGCTGTCCAACTGTGCATCACAGTAAAATAATCTGGAAACTGGAATTAATGGTGTGAATAGAAAATGCATTTAATATCATAAAATATTGTGTTTGGGAGATACGTTTCTTGTCGTATTTAATGGCTAAATGAGTCTTTGAGACCTAATGACTTATTGGAACCTATTTTATTTTATGAGGTGAAATTTCAAAATCTAGTCCTTCATGTTCTGCAGGTCTTTGAGGTCAAGTGCTGTGACCCCAGGCACTGAGGGCGCACGCTTGTGGGAGACCTAGGCTTACATTCTGGTTTCGTAGTTTACCAGGAAGTAACCCGGGCAAATTCACCTTGTTCGTACAAAGAGTGTCAGCAGAGGTCGCCTCCAGAGGAGGTGCTGTGGAGACTGAGTGCATAGCACCCTTAAAATCCTGAGACCAGGGCTTCTCCGTGGGGAAGCTTAATGCAAGTGGAGCAGTGATTTCCAGCTAGTGCCAGGCCCCAGGTGGATGCACTATAACCTTAGTAGGATTGCTTTCAAATTACTTCATATCCTGTTAAAAATCATATTTATTTATTTATTTATTTATTTTTTATTTTTTTGAGATGGAGTCTCACTCTGTCACCCAGGCTGGAGTGCAGTGGCACGATCTCAGCTCACTGCAGCCTCCGCCTCCCAGGTTCAAGCAATTCTCCTGCATCAGCCTCCCGAGTAGCTGGGATTACAGGTACCTGCCACCACACCTGGCTAATTTTTTGTATTTTTAGTAGAGACGGGGTTTTGCCATGTTGACCAGGCTGGTCTCAAACTCTTGACCTCAGGTGATGCACCCACCTCAGCCTCCCAAAGTGCTAGGATTACAGGCATGCGCCACTGCACCTGGCATAATTTTTGTATTTTTAGTAGAGACAGGGTTTCACCACGTTGGGCAGGCTGATATCAAACTCCTGACCTCAAATGATCCGCCCACCTCGGCTTCCCAAAGTGCTGGGATTACAGGCATTAGCCATCGTGCCTGGCCAAAAATAATATTTAAATTATACTTAGTTTGTAAAGTATTTAAACTCCTCATTAGAACAGTCTTCCTATTGATATCAGAAGAAGATGCAAAAATATAAGTCGTATATAATCCATATGTTACCCACAGTCTTAAGTACACATTAAGAACATGCTGAATAAGTAATGGACAAATTAGAATGGAAGGACATTGAAAACTATGATGGATGCTGTCCACCCTCTCTCACGAGGAGTTTTTGTTGTTGTTGTTGTTGTTGCTTGTTTGTTTGTTTTGAGATGGAGTTTTGCTCTTGTTGCCCAGGCTGGAGTACAATGGTGCGATCTTGGCTCACCACAACCTCCACCTCCCAGGTTCAAGCAATTCTCCTGCCTCCGCCTCCCGAGCAGCTGGGATTACAGAAGCGCACCACCATGCCCGGCTATTTTTTTTATTTTTAGTAAAGACAAGGTTTCTCTGTGTTGGTCAGGCTGGTCTCAAACTCCCGACCTCAGGTGATCCATTTGCCTCAGCCTCCCAAAGTGCTGGGATTACAGGCATGAGCCACCACACCCGGCCTCACAAGGAGTTTTAACCACAGGAATAAAACTAATGTAGCCAAGAGGCATCTTTGGAAGAGAGGCGATCAAGGGGGGTTGCTCTGAAACCCTCCTCCTGAGGTAAAGAACGTGTTTCAGGCCACAGGAGAACGTTTTCTCAGAGTAAGATGGAACTGACTTTTGCTGTAAGTGTCGCGTGGTGGCGAGACTCATCAGGTCACCGAGGCGGGGGGTGACCGAAAGGCCCTGCGGTGGCACAGAAGCAGCAGGTTCAGGGTGCTGCGGACACGAGAGGCGGAGATGGGCCCGAGTCCCAGCTGTCTGCCCCTTCCAGGCCCCAGCTTCGCCATCTGTACGTCTTGGAAGTCGGGCTAGAGAGATGACCTCTGAGGTCCTCTCCACTGTGGGGGACCTTGTAGAATGTGCATAATGTGTGGCCAGTCTCTGAGCTTCGATCCTCTGGGACAGGCTTTCAGCTTGGGCCTACGAACTAGAACTAAAGATCTCTTTAAAATGGATGCAAATTTGTGTGGGTTTAGGCTGCATTTCTATAAATTCGTCATCCCCTAAAAGGTTAAAAGACAGGTGTTGTTTACACGGTGGTGGAGCTGCTGAGAAAGGGAGCCTCAAAGACCAGGGAAAGCGGCCCTGTTGCAGACTTGCTCAAAGGGCCTCAGTAATTGTCCCCCACCGCAGCGACCCCAGCTGGCAAGCTTCCACTCATTACATAACTGTTCTTCTGAAAACCAGGCAACAAAACCTCCAGGAAAAAAAAGCTATTGATTATTAAAGGGTATTTAGAGGTTTAGAGACTCATAAGAAAGCAGTTATAATTATTCCTGTAATGACACATCCTTTGAAATGCTCAGATCTGAGAACATTTTGCTTGCATTGCATCAGTCATCATCATTACAGGGAGAAACGCAGAGAGCTGGAAATAGCTCGTGTGCAAGCTACAGGCAAGGAGTCACAAGGAAAGGAGCAAATTGACAGCAAGTCAGTGAAGGAAACGGGGGAGCTTCAAATACCCAGAACCTGCACACAGTTCTGCAGCCTCTGTCTCCCCGCAGCCTCCGTCTCCCCTCAGCCTCCGTCTCCCCTCAGCCTCCGTCTCCCTTCAGCCTCCGTCTCCCCACCCTCCGTCTCCCTGCCCTCCGTCTCCCCGCCCTCTGTCTCCTTGCCCTGCTGCCCCGCTTCAAAGCCAGCTTCTGCTGCCAAAGGACTCTTGGGGTTGAAATGCCTGTTGCACAGTTACACATCAGCCGACAGTCCTTCTCTGATTTAATGAACTTCATCTATGAAAAATACCCTCAACAGGCCAGGTGCGGTGGCTCAGGCCTGTAATCCCAGCACTTTGGGAGGCCGAGGCAGGTGGATCACCTGAGGTCAGGAGTTTGAGACCAGCCTAGCCAACATGGCAAAACCCCCTCTCTACTAAAAATACAAAAATTAGCCAGGAGTTGTGGCAGGCACCTGTAATCTCAGCTACTTGGGAGATTGAGGCAGGAGAATCACTTGAACCGGGAGGGAGAGGTTGCAGTGAGCCGAGGTCGCGTCAGTACATTCCAGCCTGGGTGACAGAGTGAGACTCCATCTCAAAACAAAACAAAACAAAAACCCTCAACAGAATGTCAAAAAAAAAGAAAGAAAAGAAAAAAAGAAACAGAAACCTGCGAAACCATCATCTTTCTGCTTTTGATAACAGTAAGGAGCATTGACTGAGCATTTACTCTGTGTCAGACACTCCCCTAAGTACTCTCTCGATATTATCTCATGTAATTCTCACAAAAATTCATGAGCTAGGAATGAGTATTATTCCCACTTACTAGACAAGGAAGCTAAGGCATAAATTGGACACCGTTATACATAGCATGGCCAGAATCAGGATCTGAACCTGGCTGGGTGACCCTGGGGTCCCCAGCAGGCCGCTCCCTGTTAAGGTTTCCAAGCGCACTCTTGGGCTGGTAGAGCAGCCAGCAAGATGAGGGCAGGGGGAGGGGTGGTGTCACAGAGGCATCTCCCTGAAGAATCTCGGAAGACACTAAGTGTTGGGCAAGGTTTGGTTTGGTTTTGTGTCTTTCATGGTTCGCTTGGAGGCCTTAATTTCCCACTTTACACAGCCCCCTCCATGTCCCCCACTTTACACAGCCCCCTTCATGTCCCCCACTTTACATAACCCCCCTCCATGTCCCCCACTTTACACAGCCCCCTCCACGTTGTTTCTGTTCATTTGACAAGTATCTACTGAGCCGACACTCTGAGGTCCGTGGGTGATTCTGAGGAGAACCAGACACGGTGCCTATCCTGGGAGATGCATAATCAGGTGGGAGTGGGGTGCAAAATCAATTCAACAAACTGGAATAGCAGGCGGAGAGTGCCCTGGTGGAGGTGCAGAGGCTCCGAGGAAAGCCTCACAGCAATACGGACAGGCAGGTGTCCCCTGCAGGATGCGGGTTCACATGGGCTGGGGAGAGAAAAGGAGAGACCGCCCACAGAGGGGCCCGTGGGCACAGGACTCTTGCTTCATGATTGTGTGGACTTAGGAGGCTCAGAATGACAACCCCAGCTGCTGTGTGTTCCTCTAACTCCAGGTCCCTTCTCCAGCCACCCAGCCCCAAGATGGTGATGCTGCTGCTGCTGCTTTCCGCACTGGCTGGCCTTTTTGGTGCAGCAGAGGGACAAGCATTTCATCTTGGGAAGTGCCCCTCGCCTCCGGTGCAGGAGAATTTTGACCCGAATAAGGTAAAAGGCGAACCTCCCATTTGTTTTGCTGCCTGTGATGTGAACAAGCATTCTATAAGACTCAATTTAATTATGCTGCTTTAATTTCCACTGCACACCTTGGGACACGTATTTATCTTATTTGGGGTTTCTGCTGAGACAATCTGCTGAGACAAAGACTGGGGGCAGAGAGGTTCAGGGTGATCCCAGGATGCACGAGAGCAGGTAGGAAAGTGAGTCGGAGTCAGCACAGAAGCAACAAAGGGAGTGTTCATGAGCTGTCGCCCTGGGCCGTCAGGGTCAGTCACACAGGGCACCCTCTGAGGACAGGTGGAGCATGTTCCTTCGATTGTCCATCAGCTGCTGCCCGCAGGCCATGGGAGCGTCTGTGGCACTAGCCAAGCCCCCTGGCAGAGGACAGACACAGCGCCTCATCCCCATCACCTCCCCAAAGCCTTGGTGACCAACTCCCTATTCAAGGTGGATGAGGAAAGTTCCATGCACTCTGGAGTCCCAGCTCCCCACAGCAAACACATCTGACTTTGCACAAGATTTGAAGATGACTTGTAGAATCATGTACTGTTTCAGAAGAAAGTTACTTCCCATCATCCCCCTTTATTTTTTTCTTTTTCTTTTTCTGTTTTTTTCTGAGACGGAGTCTTGTTCTCTTGCCCAGGCTGGAGTGCAGTGGCGTGATCTTGGCTCACTGGGACTACAGGCGCCCGCCACCACGCCTGGCTAAATTTTTGTGTTTTTAGTAGAGACGGGGTTTCACTAAGTTAGCCAGGATGGTCTCCATCTCCTGACCTCGTGATCTACCCGCCTCAGCCTCCCAAAGTGCTGGGATTACAGGTGTGAGCCACCACGCCCGGCCAATTTTTTATATTTTTAGTACAGACGGAGTTTCACCATGTTGGCCAGGATGGTCTCGATCTCCCGACCTTGTGATCCTTCTGTCTTGGCCTCCCAAAGTGCTGGGATTACAGGTGTGAGCCACCGCACCCAGCTCCATTATACCCCCCCTTTTTTTTTTTTTTTTGCCAGAATCTAGAATGTCACAGCAATATTGGCTGAAGGGAACACTGAGAAGAGCCCTTTGCTCAGCATTCAGCCACCGCCCGCACATCCCATCCTAGTCACGGATTCTCATTTCAATTAATCTCTTGCCCAGTTGCCCCTGGGAACAATGAGGCCCATTTTTGTCTGGCTTCCCCAGGACAGGGCTCAACTTCTGCACAACAGTGCGGAAAAGGTTGCAGGTCCCCAGAGAACCACAGGTTTTGCTCTGCTTGTTGTCTCTGCAGTATTTCGGAAGATGGTACGAAATTGAGAAGATCCCAACAACCTTTGAGAACGGACGCTGCATCCAGGCCAACTACTCACTAAAGGAAAATGGAAAGATCAAAGTGTTAAACCAGGAGTTGAGGTGAGTGGCTGTGGCCATCCGGGGCCAGGCCTGTGGAGTGCGGACCCGGAGTGACCAGGTGTCCAGCAGCCTGGGTCAGGGAGGATGGGATCCTTGCCAGGTCTGGACTGCCTGCTCCTAGCAGGAATTGAGAGGAAAGCATTTGTCAGGCAAGGATGGCAAGGACTAGGATCCACTTATGCATTTCCATGACCACCTGCTGGGCACAAACTGACAGGGTTCCTGCCCTCACTGCAAAATAGATACTCTGGTAGAAAAGAACATCGAGACCATCTCCTCTGACCTCCAGTCCAGGAGAGAAGCCGTTTGACACCATCTGCTGACAGAAGCATCCAGCTTTGTTCAGACACTTCCAGGAACTGGGAGCTCATCGCCTTCCAGGACAGTTCATCCCATCTCTGGGCAGCTTAATGTATCAGAAAGCTCCTTTTCTTATTAAGCAAGAATCACATACACAATATATACACATCCTATGTAAGCAGGATATCCTTTAGAAATGTACAATTCTATTACCGAGGGCTTCTGACACAATATTTAATCCAGAAAGTTACACTTTGGAAAGCAAATATAAACTTAAGAAGAGCCCCAGGAAGAACTCCTTCCTATCCCCCTTCCACTCTTGAAAATACGAATGCAGGTTTTCACGAACATGTTGTGAGTTCATGGTCAGAGACTGGTGTCCCGAAAACCGTTCTGGAGCAAAATGCAATTGATGGTGAAAAGGGCAGAATCTGTTGGGAGGAGACTGGTTTGTTGCTAAGTCCATGTGTGCAGATAGGAACAGACCATCTTCTCCCGCTGTCTGAGATCCTGATGAGAGAGGAGGGCACGGTCTCCAGCTTTACATGGTGATAAACAGAGAATGTAGTAGGGAACATCAGAGCACATTTCCCAAAACCCCTGGCCTGTTGCTCATTGTCTGGTTTCTAGGACATCCGTCACCACTAACCATAGCACTAACCCACTGTCTTTTTTTTTTTTTTTT